TCTTCCAATGGCAAATTATTGCCACTTCGATGCAAAAAATTCATTTAAAATCTTCAAAACTACGACAAAAGGAGAGCTACCAGCATATATGGGGTCATGTAAAAGCATAGACCTTCCAAGAACCTTTTGGTACCAAATAACAGCCACAGCGATGTGAAAATGCAGCCCAAGCCTTCAAAATACCGAATAATAGGCGGGACACACACTTAAACCAACATTTAAAATTTTCGGTAGTGAGATGTGACACCCCATGAGCTGCTGAAAAATACAATTACAGCCAAATGGATGGAAAATCGTGTCCAATCACCCCGCCAAAACACCGAATAATGGAGGGTAACATTGTATGGGGGCTACCCGGAAACTTCCGATAATATTGAGATTTTTTGGTAGGGAGATTTTCTACTCAAAGATCAATCAAAATATAAAATTACCGACAATGTGGTTGAAACTCAACATCAAACTCCTCAAAATATTGAAATTTGCGAAGCAGTGTTATATTGGGGGGTGGGCTACTTTAAAAAGTAAACCAATTATGATAATTTCTGGTAGGAAGATATTCCAAATTTTGTTAAGAATTGGTGGGGGAGATTTTGCTTGCTACTTGAGAATATCAAATAAGAACCAATTTTGTTGAAAAACGTGCCCAAAAACGTTTCAAAATACCGAATATTGGGGGTACCACTCTAAAATAAAATAGATTTTGTTGGAAGATTTTCTACCCACAATATCAAATTACAGCTGAAAAACGTGCCCAAAAGCCTCAAAAAAAAAACACGAATATTGTGGGAGGTCCTGTTATATGGGGGCTATACGAAAATGTGATCTGATATATCCCACTTTCAATACCAAACATCCTACGACCAGTAGCAATATATGTGCAAAATATCAAAGCTCTATCTTAAATATTGCTCCGGCTCCATCGAGATTTGAACAGACGGACATGACTAAATCCACATGGAATTCTATTTTGATCAGGAATATATATGTATACTTAGGATAGGATCGGAAATAATTATATGAAGGTGTTGGCAAATGGAATGAGAAATTTAATATACACTCCATGTTGTAGGGGAGGGCATAACAAAACTTGTTTACTCCATTGCTTTATCATCCATCCATGAGAGTGCAAAAACAAGACCCTTTGATCGAATTGCAGCTGCCCATTGATGGATGACCAATACGTATTATTATGGAATACGAATTTTTAACTGGGAAAATATTTTCTTCTATAAATATTTATGCGTTGTACAATAGTTGTTGTTGGCTTTTTTTGGAATCTCAGAATTTATGCATTGGTTCTTGTCACTGCACAACAACACCAACAACTACAACATCGATCACAATTAAGAATGACTTTAAAATTTTAAAATTCTCAAGGTGCAATAATTTTGTTTTCTTTCTTCATTTGTTTGATCTATACATTTTTTGGTATTAGGTGTGTTCGGCAATATTTTTACAACATTATGGAGAATATTTTTGTCCAACTAATTAAATCTAGCGTTTCATTTAATGGGACCTTTTGGGACTTCTTTAAAACATTTTCCTCTTTTTTGCTCACTTTTTCTGCAAAAATCAATGCATCTTCAGGGAAATTCTTTTGTTGTGTACATTTTAGGTATAAGGTGTGTTCGGCAATATTTTCAACGACATTATGGGGAATATTTTTGTGGACATAATTAACCCTGTAGCGTTTCATATAAGGGGACCTTTTGGGATATAAGAAATATTTTCCTTTTGTGGCTTCTTTCTTTACATTTTTTGATCAATTCTCATTTAAACGAACAATTTTTTGATCTATTAATTTTGGGTATTGGGTGTGTTCCGCAATATTATTACTAATGTTATGCTTAATATTTCTGTGGAACATATTAACCCTCTAGCGTATCATTTAAGACGACTTTTGGGAACTTCTTTAAAATATTTCCCCTTTTTTACTTGTTCTTCAATTCTCAATGAATCTGCAAAGGGAATTCTTTTGTTGTGTACATTTTAGGTATAAGGTGTGTTCCGCAATATTATTACTAACATTATGCTGAATATTTTTGTGGAATTATTAACCCTGTAGCGTTTCATTTAATGGGGACCTTTTGGGTCTTCTTTCCAATATTTACATTTTTTGATCAATTCTCATTTAAACGAATCTGAAAGGGAATTCTTTTGTTGTGTACATTTTAGGTATAAGGTGTGTTCCGCAATATTATTACTAACATTATGCTGAATATTTTTGTGGACATAATTAACCCTGTAGCGTTTCATATAAGGGGACCTTTTGGGACTTCTTTAAATATTTTCCTCTTTTTTGCTCACTTTTTCTTCAATTATCAATGAATCTGCAAGGGAAATTCTTTTGTTGTGTACATTTTAGATATAAGGTGTGTTCGGCGATATTCCTACTAACATTAGGCTTAATATTTTTGTGGAACACATTAACCCTCTAGCCCTTCATGAAAGGGGACTTTTTGGGTTTTCTTTCCAAGATTTCCTTCTTTTTTAGACAATTCTCAATAAAGCGGGGCAGTAATTTTTGTGATCTATACATTTTTAGGTATTAGGTGTGTGATTTAAGGGTCCACTCCCCACAGAGCGGCATCTCTCATTATTCGCTATTTTGGGGATCTTTATATTTTTTAGGATTCTCATTTGAAAGAAAATCTTTTCTACCAAAAATTATCAATATAGGCTAATGTTTCGGGGTATATCCCATATAAGGGTACCCAAAAAAATATATATATTCGGTATTTTGCGGAGCTTGGACACGTTTTTCAACCTAATCAGATGTAATATGTTATTTTGGGTTCTCATTGGGTAATAAATCTCCTTGCCAAAAATTATCAAAATTGGTTTAATTTTTAGAATAGCCCCCATATAAGGGTACCCCCAAATATTTGGTATTTTGTAGTTTTTTTCACGTTTTTCCACCTAAACAGCAGCAATTTGGTTTTTTGGGTTCTCGTTGGGTAATACATCTTCCTACCAAAAATTATCAAAATTGATTAAATTTTTAGTATAGTCCCCATATAAGGGTATTCCCAAATATTCGGTATTTTGAAGGGTTTTGACACATTTTTCCACCAATTTGGCTGTAATTTTAGATATTTTTGATGATTTTTGAGTTGTCAATCCACCAAAAAATTATAAGTAACGACCCATGATTTCGGAAAGTCTACCCATATAATGGGACACAATCACCCACCCCCATCACCCCTTATTCCGTATTGTGGGCGAATTTTTGAAGTTAATTGGCTATAATTTGTTTATTTCAGCTTCTAATGGGGTTTCAAATCTTCCCATTAATAAAAAAATCAATATCATTCCACGTTCTGGTATAGCTCCCATATAACCGTACCGATTCATTTTCGGTATTTTAAAGGCTTTGACTGGATTTCCCCCCACCGACATGGCTGAAATTTGTAACAAAGGCTTCCTCAGGGCTTTCATATATATACCGAAATTAGGCAATATAGGTCTCCGATTTAACATAAGATCCCAACCGATTTAAGGAAACCCCACCCATTCTCGATTTAAATTTTTCAAGATTTTCAATGGGCTGGGAAATCAATACCAATGCTTGTTAAGGTTTGTAACTTTGCACATATATATTTGAAGATTTAAAAGAGAAGAAAAATAATTTACAAAAAAATTTTGTTATTGTTTTGTTGTTGTTTTTGTAATTAAAGAAAAGTCCTTATATTTGATGGCGGGCATGATAACTCCTCACTGGATCATCGGAATCCGAAAATTCCAACGGTGTTAGAAAGAGTACATGTCTGGCTCTCGTATGAACTAGGATTATTGACTTCGCTCTAAAATTAAAAAAATGGTGGACCTTTGAAAAAAATATTTTTGGAAAATCGCCGATTTTTTTACCAAAAACCAAGTTAAAAAATAAGGAAGATCTTCACCGATTGGCTTTATCCTAGTTCATACGAGAGCTATACACTCCCAGAGAAACGTTGCAAAATTTGGAACCGATTGGATTATTAGTTTTTGAGTTATCGTGCCGCGCCATTCGCAAAAAAATGTTTAGAGAAAAACGCGTTTAAAGTTTGAAGAAGCCCTTCAGCCGTCACTTGATGCTGACACAATAAATCGGATATATCTTCAAGAGTTCTTGAGATTTTCACTTGAAATTTTGTAGAGACATTCTTTAATCAGTGTAGATTCGAATTATATCAACAAAAAATTTGACCCCGAGAATCCCCTTAAGGCATATTGTGTAGAGCATAAAATGTTCAGCCTCTCCGAACTAAACGAAGTTTTTACATGGTTTTCACTATATTTCCAAGACCCATTAATTTATTCATATTTTTTTACAAAATGTAATAAAGATTTTCAAATGTGGCCAATTTCTTTGATTTTTTTATATCAACAGCCAATGAAAATTTTTCAATTTTTACATTTCTTTTAAGTATACTTACCTCAACCTTTTTTTTTTTTTGAAAATACCTGAATTCCATAGTTGAATTTCTTTACTTGGCTTCCCCAATCTAAAACAAAACTGCAAGAAATTTGGATCTGAATTTGGTAAACCCCCTGGGCCAGAAGTGCATTATACCCCGCTGTAATTACTTTGATAGCGTCAAAATATTCTTGAATAACTTTATCCGTTCTTATAAAATAAATAAAAAATGGAAATATTTTGTTTCTTGAAAGTAGACTGAGAAAGTCAAAATAAATTGTCATTTATTTATTTATTTTATTTATTCAATATTCAATATTAGAAACATTAAAAATATATTTTTATTCCGGTTTTGCTCTAATAAGCATTTCGGCATATTTATATGAATAAGCATAAGTATTTTTCCAATGAAACCATTGAATGCCCTGGCCTGCTGCTACCTTCTCATTTTCATATTTTCCAAATAGATGACTGTAAAGAAAAATTACGAAAATAAATTGAAAAACAAAACAAAAAATAATATGTAATCGAAAATGATTGTTATACCTCTTGAAACAATCATGAAACCACCATGCCCCTTTCCATCGCTCGGCACAATTACCATCATTGTTATCATTATCCTCATCGAAGGTAGTAAACTTCATACCTTTGTGATATGCCAAGGAATCACCAGCAGTGCCACTGTATTTGCCTAGTACCTTGAGTCGATATTTCTCGGCTTCATTTCCAATTTGGAAGCCATCATAGAGGGCATAACGGTCCTCACCCTGCCAATCTCTTAAAATCACTTTAAGTTCGATGTTTGGAACGGCTGTCGTCAATTCATGCAATCTTTCTAGGCCAATAAAGTATTCGCCGTGAGGTGGATTACCAAAACCCATTTTATAGGATCGCCAGTTCCTGTAAAAATTGACAGAGCCGTCCTTGCGTCTGGCAATTGTTGTCCAATTCGTAAAGTCCAAAGGTTTTCTAGAAAAAAATTAAAAACAAATTTTGCTTATTAGTAGGCAACTCCGAAATTATATATATGTATATGTATATATATATATATATATTAACCGATTTCAACAAAACTGAACTAGTTTGGAATCGGACATACCTATTTATGGCAGCTATATCTAAATCTAAAGCGATTTTCACCAATTTCAATTGGGTTCATGGATGTGTTGAATTCCATCTCCTTTCGCGTCATAAATGCGAACTGACAATTCGCCAAATCGATGTCGACTTTTGATTTTTGAGAAAATCGCAAATAGATTTTCAGTTTTCTTCATAAATACTTGGTTTATTATCACAAAGTCCAAAATTTAAAAATAACTTTCTGAGTAAAAATTACACAGTAGTTTATGTTCAGAGAGTTTGTTCTCTCATGTGGAAATATTGGAAAGAGTTATCGAACAACATCCGGTAGAATTAAATGTATCTGTCACAACTTGAAGATGTTAAGAAATCAGATACAAAATAACAAATTTTAATAAACTAATTTTGTTTAATACATGCTATAATACGTTGTATATTTCAATTTCAGATTATTAAATTGACGGAAAAAAAATAATTTTATATTTGACAAAACAAACAAAACCAGTAAGGAATTAGTAACGTCGGACTGGGCCGACTATATGATACCCTTCACAACTTTGAATATATCCACGCATGTTTATCATAACAGACGTCGCCTTTTCGAAAGAACATTGACATAAAATTGAAGAAACTTAAATCGAAATCTAACACGATTTACTCGAAACTTAACACACGAGCAATGGTAGGGACAGATATAGCAATACGTACTAGTCGAAGCACGAAAAT